CGCCAACCCGTGGTGTGCACAAAGCCAGCCGCGAGCGCTCCGGCTGTGTGGCTGCCAGCGCAGATCAGCGGGTAACGGGGCCACACAGCCCCCCAAAACCCCGCTCCGCCAGCTCCGCGGGCACACCGGCCTCAGAGAGCACGAGCAGCGGGGTCTGAAGCTCCCAGCTCCCGAGCACGGCCCAACCGCCCTCGGCGTTCCTCTTGCTCGCACCCGCTGTCGCAGAAACGCCTCGCCCGCGTGGTTCAGCTGGGGCCGGGGCTGCCCGCAGCGCGCTGCTTGAGCGGGGACTCCCATCACCAGCAAAGGCATCACCTCTGCCCAGGGACAGGGCAAGGTCCGTGCCACCAGCTGTTGAACGGCCTTTGGAGAGCACGGTCCCACCGGCACCATCAGCCTGCTCGGAGCTGGGAACCGAAGGAGCCGTTCGGACTCACCGAAACACCGGTCTTCAGCATTACTGTGTACTTCAACCCACCCAAGACCCTCCTGCCGTGACACAAGACGTGCCAGCCCACGCGATGGTTGTATGCGACACCAGGTTTGCCATTTGGGACAGCACAGGAGAGCTCTGGGCAGTTTGCACGAACCGGGACTGCCGAGGGGTCCAGCGCGTCCTCTGCTGTGTTCAGTGACCCCTCTGCAGCACCCCGCCGTGATGCTGGCAATTAATGCCACAACCAAGGGCTTTGGCCAGGCAGCTACCGAACTATTCTTACCCTCAGGCAGACACGCAGAACAGGGCATTGCCCCTGTCCGCTACCTGAGCGGTGCTAGACTTCTTCCGTGCATCACCCATGCTCTAACAGTGACATACCACCATCAGCTCTGGGGACACTAGCTCATAATAATTAACACACTAGTAACAATGTCTAGTGCAGGTGTTTGAAAGGCCATTTAAGACCTCAGATGTTGGGGTTTTACCCAGAATAATTTCTTTTTTCTGAAATTAAAAATGCCTGAATTCTTTTCCCTGGGACGTACAGAGACCAACTGACTGTTACACCAGTCCAAGCAGACGAGGACTATTGCAGGCAGACGGGCGTGCTCCAGAGTTACCATACTCCTCAGTTATCTGGTAATGAAGGTTTCCCTTCAGATTCTATTAGCAAATGCTTCGTGACCTTTGGAAATTCGATTGCGTTCCGATTTCTGCGTGTGGTTTAGCATTTGGTCGGTAGGTTACCTGGCCAGGAGTAGCTACAGAAAATCCAAGTGTTTTTTTCTCAGGAAGTTTGAGTGGAAAAAGTTTTCAAACCAAAATATCAGTTGTCACAAAGGAACCAGATCCCATTGCAGGAGGCAGGGCAGATAATCTCCCTGAGAAGCATCAGAAACGAGAACCTCATTCCAAGCACTAAAACAGTAGGAATGTTTATTAAGAGAGAGTTGCATGACAAATGCATCCTGAGCTCCCGCTCAGCACTTCATACCCTTCTGAACGTGGATGGTGACATTTACTTAGAAAGCCACATGCAACAAGTTCACTTTTTCATTATATCAAGAGCAATTTTTCCTCAGAACAAATTTAACTAGTCCACTGCAGCATCACATGCACCTGCTATAACTGTGACCCCAAAATCAGGCTAATTTCTCTAAATACATATTTGTACACAGAGCTGCTTATCAGGTTTTGGCTTATGCAAGTATCGTAGTACTCACGTAAGCCAATTAAATTTAAAACACCTTAAATGTTACCAAGAATCTTGAATCAAGTTTAGAAAAGAAAAGTAGATAATGCTGGTCTTGATGTTCCATCCTCGCTGGTCTGTCTTCCTCTTTCTCTGCCCAGAAAGACCTCCCCGTGCCTTGTACTCCCCAGCTCACACAAGAATCACCAGCAGGCCCTGAAGAAGCGCAAGGAGCCACACATCCACCTTATTTCCCGACTTCGAGGGATGCTGGTTCGCAACAGCTCGTCAGCAACAACACAGTGAACAGAAAACCCCTTTGCAAAAATCCCCACGTCACATTTTTAGTAAGGAGGGCACAGTGCCCTTTGGGAAGCGTCGGAGAATACCCCAGCTCCTCTGGGACATCTCCAGGATGCACAGGGCTGGAATTTGGTGCAATTCAAGACATTTTGAAGGGCTTTCCAGACCCTGGACCCACATCAGAGCTGCTCACACAGCGTTCTCCAGAAAGGAAAGGCAACCTGGACGGGGGGACCAGGACCTACCCCAGAGGGGCCGAACACTGCTCGTTGCGTACCTGGTTTGATAATACTCATGGGTATGAAGTACTCGGGCAACATTTTCTGACCTGAAGGAGGTCAGACAGAGCAACCCTTTCTGGCCTTTCACGGCTTAAAGTCTTCGGCTCTTGCTCACTACACCAGCACCGGCAGGGTCCTGGGAGCAGCCAGCTGCTAGAAACAGCCCCGGTGACCCGCACCGGTGCCTTGCGGGAGGAAATAGGCTTTCCGAAGACTTACCGCTAGTATCTGAATATCCACCTTTACTAAGGGAATGCCCAGCACGTTTGGCAGAGGTATCCCGATGCCCAGAGCACCTGCAGGGGACAGACAGGTCCTTACACGCCGCCGGAGGGGTGAGCCCAGCTCCCGCCCCACGACAAGCTGCTCCCGGGGAGGGTGAAGGGGCAGAGCTGCCCAAGAGGCACGGACTGCGGCACCACCACGCACGATGCGTTTTGGCTTTCCTGACATTCTCTGCCACTAGCGGTTGCCAGGGCCCTTAGGACTGAAGCTGGGGTGGATGGTGTAAGAATAGCACCGGGACTTTTAACTACAGCCTCAAAATGGGGATTGCAGACCTTTAATCGCTCCAACTCGCCTGCTATAGCTTTCAGTCATGCACACATATCCCTCGCCCCTCCTCAGTCAAAGCACTCCCAGTGTTACAGCTGTCCCAGTCACCTTACCGTTGATAAGGGGCAATAACGTTTCCGCCAGCAGATTGCTGCAGTGTGGCTTCAAGTTCAAGATCTGAACCAGAGAGGGAACAAGCACATGAGCAGCGCTGCCAGGCACAGGACAGCGGCAAGCACAGCCCAGCACCGCGGCTGGAAGACAGCAGTCCTCGGGACTGGAAATCACTTCCCACTGACACAGCAAAAGAACAAATAGTCCCTCTTTTCTTTAAAGCAAATCTACTTTTCTTCCTCGATTTGTATTTCGTCCTTCCTTTGGGAATCTTTCTACCAGGTAAAACTCCTGCTGGAGCTCTGTGTAAGCTTTGCCCAAGCAGGTGAATAAACAAACAGACTTCAGGCTTTACATTTGCATTATTAGAAAAGGCAGAAGAAAAAAAAACGCCGCAAAAGAAGAATGGCTATGACCTACAAAGTAGAGCAGCTAGCAACTAAAACCCTCAGCAGACGTAATCCATCACAGCCAGGACGTGTTTCAGCATCACACAGCGACCGCGTGTCTCCCTCCTTCCCCGGAGCTGCAGTGCACAGCGCTCGCCCACACTGCCCACCCAGTAAAGTCGAGACTGGTACGAGAGACTTACGTTACTGATGCCAACATCTGAGGACTCCAAGGAGAGGGAAGTGCTGCAGGGAAAGTAAAGCAAACAGCACGTCAGACACCAAGTCGTGAGACCCCTGCCATCTCCTAGCGCAGCGTCACTCAGCCCAGGGGCAAGGGATCCCTGTGAGGCATCATCGGGGCATCCATAAAGGGATCACAATATTGTCACACAAAAATCAGGCACTGCCACACTTGCAAGAGAGAAGAGAAAACAGGAAAACAAAAGCAATAGATCAACACTAAAAGCTTCACCTAATTTTTATTTGCTTGCAAACGAAACAGCACAGCAACAGGGCACACACTAGCTCCTGGCTTCCGCTTCCCTCTCCCGTGCCCAGGTGGTTATTCACCTTGGGAAAGGAGTCAGCTCCCGGATAGCTGAGAGCAGAGCTTCTAGAAAAAGCCTCCAGTCTGGATTTAAAGATCACAAGCTCTGGAGAACTTGCTACAGCTCCTAATCCATCATTGCAATCACACAACTATCTCCATAGCTAAAACATATGCTTTATTTCCACTTTGAATTTCTCTTTTCTACTTCCATTGAATCTTGTTATATCTTTGTCTATTGAATTAAAAGCATATGCATTAAATGCATTTCTATTCTCTGTATCGCTGCATACAAGCTATGTCAATGTTGCTTCTAAATCTAGCTCTTTGACAAGGTAAATGGTTTGAAATCCTCAAACCTCACACTATAAGAAATGCTTTCCAATCTTTAATCATACCTTGACTGGCATTAATGACAGTGCTTTCCTTTACTCCTTTATCACTCACGTCCAGTATCAGACATTTCAAACTACTGCCCAGGATGAAAGTCAAGCTGACAGTCTTAAAATTATGCAGGTTACCTCATTTCTCCTTGTTATAAAACTGACTCAGACTTTTCTTCCAGTCTCCTAAAACTTTCCCACTGCTGTAATGTTTCCTGAAAGTCAGCAATACCTGTCCACCTCGTGCCATCAGCCAGGTATGAAATTCTCAGATTCAGGAAATGAAACGTCTGTTTTACAGACACGGAAAGACATTTCAAGTTAGCGGCTCCAGAGCTAACGTGGCAATGCAGAGGATGTCACCAGCCTGTAAGGGGGCAGCACTGCCCGGCTTGGTCACAGCCGTGTTTGTGCAACACTCCCGTCCCTTCTGCCACCGTTCAGGCAGCTCCAGCAGCGCTGCGTCACCGAGGGACACGCCGTTACAGCGCTCGGCGTGTCCCTGACGAATTGCAGCCCTTCCTGTCGTCCCGCTCTCTTCTGGCCAGTGCTTCCCAGCAAACTGAACCCTGAGCTCCGGGAAAGCCGGAGTTTCCCAGCACGGCTGAACGCCCAGGGCTGTCTCAGGGGAGCGAGCGGGCTGGGGCGTTGCAGCAGGCTTTGCCTCGAGCACCCCCGCGGGGACACCTACCTGCCCAGGGACAGCCCCAGCACCAGTCTGCCTCCGGCGATCGACACGCGGGCGTTTAGACCGAGGTCCTGCAAGCAGAGAAGGAGAGGATCAGCCCGTGGAGACGTCCCCATCCCAGCTGCCCGTCGCTCGGCTGGCTGTGCGCTTCACCAGATTGAGGTCTTTACACCCACGCTTACCGCCTTCAGGAGCAGGAGGTTGACGATGGATCCATCTAAATGGTTAATGAACACCTGAATCATGACTGAAAGCTCGACGGTGGCTCTGTTTTCTTCCAGGAGGATGAGTGGGTTCCCAGACAACGTTAGCTTAATGCTCAGAGGACTGGTCCCATGGCAGGTGGAGCACTGTGGGAATCGGGGACACGTGGAGGTGGCTACCCACGCCCCGCGCGCTGGCTAGG